GGCACGCATTCAAGTTCCATAATAGTGACGTGCAGATAAAATGTGACTTGCTGTTAAGTTGCATTCAACAAGCAGCTGAAAAATCGATTCCCTTTAAAGATATTGTTTTGCGAAACAGAGATCAACCTTGGTTCACGGATGACTTGAGAGCGCTGTATAGGTGTAAAAATAAACTTTTTAGTCAGTGTAAAACTCTCAATTCACCTGTGAGCTCTAAACACCGGTATAAGGAAGCTCAAAGACATTTTGATAGGGCTTGCCGTGACGCAAAAGAAAGCTATTCTCAACGTATAAACCGAATTAATAGTGGGAGTAAATACTGGTGGAAACTCGTTAAGCACAACATTCGTGGAACCAATACATCTTCTCTACCAGTTCTCCAAAACATCAACTCTCAGTTGATTTATGATGATCAGGAAAAGGCTCAGTTATTGAATGAACATTTTGCTTCTGTATGTAGTATGTCAAAGGCAGATTATAATACCTCTATTCCTACCGACCTCCTTCAAGATGTGAGTTCTTCGCTCTTTTCTTTTCATGTTTCTGCGAAGGAGGTTGAGCATATTTTGTCTCATCTAGATATCAATAAAGCAACCGCACCAGGTGTCAATAATCGTCTTTTGCGTGAATCTTCATCAATTATTGCTGAAGATGTAGCTTCTATCTGTCGTAGCTCTCTGTTCACATCTACCTTTCCTAATTCTATGATCGGGTTACGTCATGCCATTATTCAAAGAAGGGGACCGTACAGTGCCTAATAATTACCGTCCCATTACATTGTTGCCTGCCCTGTCAAAAGTAATTGAGAGAGTCATCTACGAACGACTATACAAATATCTGACGGCAAACAAACTCCTGTCGGTTTTTCAGTCGGGTTTTCGAAAGAAGCATTCGACCGTACACCAGTTAGTAGATCTAGTTTACTCTATTTATAAGGATAGAATGGCGGGAAAAGATATTCAGGTAGTTTTCTTGGATTTTAAAAAAGCATTTGACAAGGTTTGGCACAATGGATTACTGTACAAATTAAGAAAGAAAGGTGTTTGTCCTCAGCTAGTTGCGTGGTTTGAGGATTACTTACTAAATCGACATATCACAACAGTAGTCGGAGGTAAACAATCAAAACCTATCCGTATTAACAGCGGCATACCACAGGGAAGTATACTGGGTCCTCTACTATTCCTTATTTACATAGATGATATTGGACACGACCTGACTTCTAAGACTCATATTTTTGCTGATGACACGTTACTATATAGTAGCGATGAAAACTGCAAAAAGGTCACCGCGATTTTGAACAGTGATCTTGATATGGTTTATCAGTGGTCTCTGCAATGGCAGTTACCATTAAACTTAATAAAGTGTGTCTCAGTGTGCTTTTCAAAAAAGCCATCCCAGGGTAAATTGCAAATATCAAATCATGTTCTTCAACGTGTGGAGGAACACAAATATTTAGGGGTGTACTTTACATCATCGCTATCCTGGAAGTGTCATATTTCCGATGTTGTTTCTAAATGTAACTCTATTCTGGGCAGGATGATGAAGTACAAGTATATGTTTTATACACCTGTTCTTGACCAAATATACAAATCATATATTCTGACTATTTTGAGTTATGCTGATGTTATCTACACATACACGCCGAAGTCATCGTTGACGTTCATTTCACGGCTGCAGTACCAAGCGGCTCTCCTAGTTTCTGGTGCATTTCATTTGTCCAGCAGAGACAGAGTGTTAGAAATATTGGGATAGCCTGACATTCAGCAGCTCTATGAAATTCATAAGTTAACATTGCTTCGAAAAATAATTAGAGGCGAAGTACCTGCGTATCTCACTTCCTGTATTGAAAGTAGGGAGACCGTTCCATACAACTTGCGAAGATGTGCAATGTCTAGATGCCTTTCCTTCGATTCAGTGACAGCTGATAGATTCTTCTTCCCATTTACTACCCAGGTTTGATCAAAACTACCCCAGCATATAAATACCACGTCTTCAAAAACGTTCCAAAAACAGCTTCTCACTCACTACGGATGTTTCTTTTCTATTTTTCGTGTTCATAATATCCCGAGAGCTATTGATGTGCTATACAGTAGACTTCGCGTTAAATTTTCTGTTTTGAAAGCTGATTTATGCAAAAAATCATTGGCTTCGACAAGTTCATGCAAATGTGGAGAGGTAGAGACTGTTCAGCATTACCTTTTGGATTGTGTGTTATATCGCGCTCAAAGAATAACTCTCATAAAAAAATCTCAACGATAACAAACACTCTTACCCTCAGTCTTGATCTCCTTCTATTAAATGTGACGCTCTCGAAAGAAGATTTTTTATGTATATATCATGCAGTTATAGAGTATATTTGTACTTCAAAACGTTTTTCAGAAGAACAATAGTATCTTTCTCTTTCTCTTTTCCTTGTTCTTTTAGCTCTTGCTCGATTTCTGGTCTCGAAACAGACCTTGATTATTACTTCCACTTTATCGTTCTTTTTGTTTTTTCTCTTTTTCTCTCTCCCTGTATCATCATACAACCATACGATATTTTGTGTATCCTTGGTATTCTGGTAATGTCCTTGGTACTAAGACTAGTGGAAATTATTCAAAGCGGAAAACATTATGTGCAAAAGGTCAGTCGACTTATTTAGCTGTAGATAGATTTATTCTGATATTCATATTGTTAAATAGTCAAAATAGTCAAATGTTAAATATTCGGGTGTTAAGATCTTCAGTTCTTCTCACTCACTCACATCAGAATACCCAGAGAACTCAGAATACCAAGAATACCAAATATTCCAAAATTCCGTGAAATATCAAGTCGACTCCAAACTGAAATCGTAGCACTTGCAGATTCTGAAAATTTCAAATTCTCTTACCACAACTGCACTATGTTGCTCAGAATTTGCGACGGAATTAGGAATAAGACAGTTCGCATTGTTCTTAATGTTACTACATGCTTAGTAAAAGGGAACTCTCAAACAAATTCATTCCAAAGCAGCCTTCAGTGGTACAAGTCCATCATATCTAGGACCAATTTATGACTTGCAATATTTAGCATCTCTAACTGTTAGTGGTGCAATGCATTTATAATCACGCGAAAAAGTGCTTAAAGTTGTAGGTTGGATCCCCTTAGAACAATCTATGCAATTAACAAAATAATTCTTTTCTTTAAACTAAAAGACGGTCTTACATCCACTTTTCTTTCTAGACGTATTCCTGAACAACCAATTGTTACTACGTGTTTACTCACCCTCACCCCTCAGCAGCAGAGCATCTGTCCGAAGTCCAAAATACAGAAAGAGCAATTCTTGAACGAAAAATTGATTGCCCCGTAAAAAAATTTTCCCGGCCTGCCCAGACTGTCAACTACACTTCTTTGTTACTATCTGTATAAGAAATGCTGAACGCTTTTGAACCTAAAACAATTGCTTAACCTTTCTCCATCATGCTATCTTTATCTTTCTCCTTTTGGATTCTTCTCTTTTTGTTTTTTTGATTTTGATTTTATTTGTTATACTTTTACCTTCTCATTTTCTCTTTCCAGCCTTTCATTTTTATTATTGTACGGAAAGTGCACATAATTCAAAGGTTAAGCACTTTTTTTTATTTTTCAAAAGTTAAACACATTCGGTTTCGTTGATTGAAGCTGATCACGAATATTACCGTCTGAACATCTAATACTAATTTTTTTGTGAAAATGATAAATCTGATTGTAAAAAAAAATGGTAAGAATCTGATGGAGTCACTTTCAGGATTTCCAGAGGTTCTTCAGACTGATTTCGAGAAAGCCGGGTCTCCAGAAAACCTTTTTGGAAACCGAATTTGCTAAAAGTAATCGGAAACGAAATGCTTATGAGTTCTGCGTAAAATGAGAGCTCTTTGAATTTTTGAAACCGTTTTGAGTCGAGTTTTCCTACTTTAAACTGAAAAAGGGGAGATTTTTGATGTTTTACGTGTGTGAAAACGCTAGAAAAGGCTGAGGAATGGCGAAAAAATGTAGATCTTGCTCAGAATTGATTCTGCTTTTGATCTCAGACACTTTCAGAAAATCCGGTTTCCACCCAGTTTTCTGGAGACGCGGTTTTCTCGAAAACATTCTGAAGAACCTCTGAAATCCTGAGAGTGGCTGCATTGGATTCTTCGCTGTTTTTACCTCTAAATCTAAAAATTTCAGCCTTCTCGTGCCAAATCTGTCTTTTACGGCCTAAAATAAGTTAAGCCGATTTCGGTGTAAATCGGCTCCTTTTCAAAGAAATTCAAATATCTCAGAAAAGAAAATGAAATGAAGCGTTGGTTTTTTGAGCATCGATTTCTAAAACTGATGCTCGACGTTGATCTACGACTGAAGACGGTTCGAATGGCGCAGGAAGCAAGACTCTAGCTCTCAAACTGGAAGACGAGAGCTAGAGCCGACTATTTATCATTAAAACTTTTGTTTCAACTTAAAATTCAGATATTTTTGAAAATTTCTTATCCACTGGATATCCGGGACATATGTCCATCCGATGCGCCATAGTCGATTACGTATGAGTGCACTTTGTTTGCAATTCATATTTCTAGTTTTTTGGAAGTTACAAAATGACAACTCAGATCTACAGGTACACGATTTCTAAATAGTCTGTCTCCAGCCGTTGTTATGATCACCGTCATTCATTCTACGTGATAGGCACGCCGCTCTCTTTTCTGTTCTTAAAAGCAAACATATTCTTGATTGACCTCGTCTCATAAGTTTACTTTACTGTCAAGATTTTTCTTCCTCTCTCTCTCTCTCTCTCTCTCTGCGGATTTTTTTCTTACTCGTGCTGGTTTTATTTTTTCATCTATCACTTGTCGAATAATGAGAGAGAAACGGAGAGAGAAATAAAATTAGCTTCATCTGCTTCTTGGCGACGATCACACTATTTCTAACGCGCGCAGAATCGATCGATTCAGTACAAACAGCAACGTAAGTAACAGACAGTTTGATCAGTATCAGTAGCACCACCAGTTACCGAATACAAAGCAACGATGAGGTATGTAGAATCGTGATTTTCCGTTTCATATTATTGAACTTCATGTCTCATACATTGTACTAGCGGTCCTGTTACAATTCAACCTGGACACAAACTCCTTCCTGCTAATGCAGAATGGAGCACTGAATTGTTCGCATCGTGCAGTCCGGTGTCAGATGGTGATTTTCGATTATTTATTCTTTTAAAATCTCACATTCGGCATTTTAGGGATTATATATTGCATCTGTAAATCATGGTGCGCTGGCCGATTGCACAAACGTGCAGGTGAAAGTTTTCTTGGATGCCTAGTTCCGGGTGCCACACAAGCACTTCGAACAAAGATTCGAATGGCCTATGGCATCAAGGTAAGTATCTATCGGCGCTTTTTTCCATAGCAACGAACATCTATACTCATGTTATCGTGTAGGGTACGCTTGTCAGCGACTGGCTGTCGTCATGCTGCTGTCCGTGTTCATTATTGCAAATGAAGAAAGAGCTCGATCGTCAAGGTGTGCCAGATCCATATGCCAAGTAGACAAATCTTCAGAGCCCCTCGTTTACGGCGGTTTTTTTACAATCATCTTTGTAAATATCATCCATTAGTGAGGTACTTAAACTCGCTCTGATTTTATTCAGATGAAAATAAAACGAAACCAAAATGGATATCCTTTCTTTTCATTCAACATCTTTGTAAATAGAGTTTATTTATTTACACAAACGGAACGCAAGCGATATTCTTCGTGATTTTACTTTATTCTTCTGTTTTTAAATTCATTTCTGCTCGAAAAGAATTATTGAGAGTTCGAACAAAGTGAGAAATTGGTTAGATTTAACTTTATAGCGTTAACTACTTTTCGTTTCTACATTCTTCTCAATAGTCAGATATGCGTAAAACAATTCAATACAATTTAAACAATCAGCTATATGAATATAACCACTGTCCATTCAAAAATACGGTGTTCGTGGTTGTATTTTGAATTTCTCTGTACAGAGAGGAGATAGTGACCTGCGGTTTGCAGTTTTGAAAACTAGACACCTAATCACATACTTCTGTAAGCAAAAGCGAATTTTGGAAAAGCTTCTGAAGGGGATCTTTGAAAAAAAAGCTTGGTTTTCCAAAATTCACATAGAAATGTATTGATGTTTTCTCATGGGCTGATAGCCTGGGGTATTCTCTTCAAAATGGGAATAGAGTGAGACCTTGATTTTCTGCGGTTCCGGCGTTGTATCGGATTTCCGACGAGTCCCAGGCACTTGCTGTACCCTTGGTAGTCTTGAAGACGGATGGACTATAGATAATCGGCCATGCTGAGTCTCGTGGTAATATCTGTTTTGTAGAAAAAATTTTAAAAATCTACCGAAAAGCTGGTTTTACGAAAATTAGGGTTTTCAGGCTGTTTTTAATATTAAAAAGTTCACTATTCACTCAGAAAACATCACAACGAGTTCAAAATCTGAGGATATAATTAATGTTGTCCGCTAAACGTATTATAAGAACAAAAAATCTAAAAGCATAGTTTTGTTAATGGCTTTTCCAGAAACCCTTTTGGAAAATCTAAGGATTTATTAAACTTTATTGCGAGATATTCTACAAACAGGATATATAATGGCTTGAATACTCTACATTCTGAAGTTTTGAACTCGTTGTGATCTTTTCTGAGTGAATAGTAAACTTAATATTAAAAACAGCCCGAAAACCCTATTTTGCGTAAAACTGGCTTTTCAGTAGATTTTTAAAATTTTTTCTGGAAACAGATATTGCCACGAGACTCAGCATGGTCGATTGTATATAGTCCATCCGTCTTCAAGGCTACCAAGAGTACAGCAAGTGCCTGGGACTCGTCGAAAATCCGATACAACGCCGGAACCGCAGAAAATCAAGGTCTCACTCCATTTCCATTTTGAAGAGAATACTGTTAGCCCGCACATACTTTATTCGTAAGAATAAAATCATAAAACGTTAAAACCAAAAACTTCTCCTCTGTACAAACAAACACTGTGTATATATATTAAGAAAGAATGTTGACTCAACCAGAACTGAGTCAACATTCTTTGTGATCATGAGACGATAACAGATGATGAAAGAATATTGTGAGTCAACATTCTTTCACTAGAACTTGAAAAGAGAAAAAGAAGAAGAATGTATGACTATGTCAGTATTGCTGACATAACAAATACTCCAGGCTATCAGCCCATGAGAAAACATGAATACATTTCTATGTGACTTTCGGAAAACCAAGCTAGTTTTTCGAAGATCCTCTTCAGAAGCTTTTCCAAAATTCGTTTTTGCTTACAGAAGTATGTGATTAGGTGTCTAGTTTTCAAAACTGCAAACCGCAGGTCACTATCTCCTCTCTGTACAGAAAAATTCAAAATACAACGACGAACACCGTATTTTTGAATGGATAGTAGTTCCTAACCCATATTCTGAAAGTGTTTATTTTATAACATCTGCTGTACAAAATTTTATATAAAGAACCTTTAACCATCATTGCCGAGTAACTTACAGTTTCTACAAGAGACAAATTGTACTTAAAAAGACGATATAAGCGATGTTTTTAGTACTTTTTTCTCTATATAAAAACAATGATCCGACTTGTATTTGATATAGGAAAATACCCACTTTCTTTATCTTTTTTGATAAATAACTACGTGTTTCTACATGGAAGAAGAGAGAGGAGCAAAATATGATAAAAAGGCATGAGTGAATTGCTGAATATAGTTTATCTTCAGGATTGTTTACATAAAAGTGCAGTGAAATGAATCTAGATGCTTTTTCTCATGTATAGAGTAGAGAAAAGCAAAAAATATTCATCGAAAAGTAGGTTTTTTCGTGTTGTTTTAACTATCAGTGAGTTTTAGTTTTTTAAATACAAGGAGAGTGAAATGTTGTCTGCGTCAAGCACTGAGACGTGTAAAAGATGCAACAGAACTTTTC